TGTATTTTTTACCTATCTATTTAAAATATTATTTATTATAAATATGTAGTTAAGTTCGATTTTGTTTTGGATGTGTTTTATTATTTAAGATGCCTGATTCTTTTTTGTAAGTATTAAATTGTTATTTAACTTGTTCAGTTTTATAGATTAAAAAACTGGAATAGAATAAAAAGTTGATTGCTTTAAGAAAGTAATTACGAGATTGATCTGCAAAGTCTATTTGTTCACAAAAAATAGCATTAAAATTAAAAAAAAGTATTTCTTGGTTTGATCTACGCCTAATAGGGGACACATAAAAAATCCTCTCATAACATGCTTGTTATATATCTATCTTTAAAACAAAAAACACGCATATATTTTTTTTGTTTTAGATAATGCTATATATATAATATATATATATTAAAAATTATATTTTTTAACTTATTTGATTTTACAATATCCTTTAATACATATCGATTATGATTATTATTGAATAAATTTTTAATTGCATAAATTAAAACATGATTCTCTTGAATCAATTAAAACATGATCTCCCCAAATTCTGGATCAATCCTCAAGAATAAGAAATATTTGATATTCTCTATTCTTATTGTTTCACTAAAATAGAAATTACTCTAAGAATTATTATTATTTTTTAGTTTGATCAATGCAGTTAGATATACTATTAAAATATCTACAATATAACATAAGAACAATTTTATTTTTGCTTTTATTATTAAAAATATTCAATAGAAGGGCAATCAAGTGTCCCAGTTTTCTCTATGGATCTAATCAAATATTAAAATATTTACAGTAAATCATGTAAAAAAACACACATTGTAGTTGCAATAGTGAGTCACATAATCAATTGCACGATTAAAAACGTCAATATTAAAATAGCATTTATGAATTATTTGCAACATTAATGAATATAACATTTATTAAATGCCATTTATTATTGCGTAATGAAAACGATTTTTGATTCATAATAACATATAGAGATCCTATAATAAGAATGTGGTCAAAGCGGATCAGTCTTCTGATTGGTCCTCCACTTGTGATTCATTCGGTGTGCTTCAGATAATTTTGTGCATTTACGGAAATGAGAGAGAGGAAAAGAAAAAGACAACTATAAGATAAATGATTATGTCAGTAATATTATCGACTCATTATTTTTTTTGCGCATGCGTACGTAGGTTATCCTTTTCTATTCATTATTTTTTATCTGCTTTGGCCAAACACTTATTATGAAATCCCTAACGAAATGTTATCTTTAAAACGTTGATATGTAATCACATTATTATAATATCTAGCTTACGCAAGCATTTAACTTTTATTCAGACGAGAGATTCGTAGTTAAATTGCAGTTAAAAAATCATAATTCAACTTTGAAACATTTGTGTAATCAATGTAGTTTTATAAACACGATGAAAATATATCTGACTGCAGACTATAATTAATACTAGAAAACATCATTGACGACATCGTCGTCACAAAGAAGTCAACAGTATACCAGGTACAGTTACAAAATTTTCCTTATTTTTACAAGTCATTCATTACCTACTTGTTACAATAGAATAATAGGTACATATGAGATATCTCGGAAGTAGTTGATACGAAAAAAATCATTATCAAGAAGAAAAATGAAATCTGGAATAAATATAAATAAAGTTGATAAAATAACTCAATGTAGATAAAAATTTATAAAAAGTAATTGAGAGATCTTAGAATACCTATTCTAAAATACCATTAAACCCTAATTACCAGAAAATAAAAAATAAAAAATTTATATTAACACATTCTAATTAGCTATCATTTCTATACTAAACTTTTATCCAAAAAGGCTTGATTCTAATTTAATTAAAAATTAGCTTTAATTTATAAATGCCTCTTATTAAAAATAAAACTTACATTGTCGATAAAAATTTATTGCAGATTACTATTAAAAATACGTTATTCTTATCACATACGTTTTTGAAAAATGAAAAAAAAAACTACAAAAAACATAGATTTATACATTATAATAAGCTTGAATAAATATTTTTATGAATTGTTGATGCAACATGGAAAATTCATTGTTATGCCAATGGTGTTCTTTATGTTCACATCATAGTTTCGAGGCACGTATAATTCATTAAAAGAATTGCTTCCGGCAATTGATGATAAACAGGAAGAGATAAAAGTATGAGCTAAAAATAATTTAGCACCTTCTATAAATATAATTTAGTACGCAAATCTATAATTCTATAATTTATAAATGACGTGGATTTCAGAATTGCATCTGCATACGGGAGATGTAATAAAAAATGTTGAATTTATTATTAAAATATATCACATTATTGCATAGAATATTCTAGATATGCTTTTTGTTATAACATTAAATGTATTCGTTGTCTTTAATAAAAGTTGCAACGTAAAAATTATCCACAATTTTCAACAAATTTTTATAGTTGATAAGAATACGAATAAAATAAGATTCTTTATAATAATGGATAATAAATTAAACAGAAGACTTTTAATAGAAATAATTTTCAATGATCTTGATCTTAACAAGGTCAAAACTCTAAACAACATTCACAAGATTTATTGAGCCCGAAGGTTGAACTAATTGGATAATGTTAATGCGGGTGATACTTTATCAATTCGTATCTCGAAAAGGAGTTGTCACATAACCAGAAGGAATTTTGTTAAAGTATTTTGAAAAAATTTTGATATCAAGTAGAAAAATATTAAATAAAAAGTAGGAGTTTCCATATAAAACTTTTAAGTTGAGACTGAGAGATTCTTTATACTTGCGCTCATGGTTAAACGGGTGTTACTCTTTGATGCATTTGTTAAAATCCTACAACTTTAGTATAAAACATTTTTTCCTCAAATGTCTAATTTTCAAGATATTTCATAACATTTCCAACAATTTTTTTTCTTTAAGAAAAATTATACATATCGTTTAATTCTTCTTCCTTTCTTTTTCAGATTTTGCGACAATTGCTACGAAGCCGTGACACAATATAAATATGCAGAATAAATCAAATATTTATACGATAAACAATGCTGCGCCACCCTCATACGCAGAGGCAACAGGAGCATCTGCATTAGAGACACACAATCCACAATTTGACCAAAGATATCTACATATGGTAGTCTGTTCACCATCAGCGTCGTTTCCACATTCGCCAAATTGTTATCTGGATAAAACACCTGTTCAATCAGCTTATCCACAATATGATTCACCGGAATGGCAAAGTCAACCAACTAGCACAAGTTGCAACAAAACGTTAATAACAAGAACTAAACACGAGAAACGTAAGTTAAAATTAATGTCATTATAGGTAACGATAGAAAACAACGTACACTATAAAAATTAGAAAAGAGCGCTATTAAAATTTGTTGTATTTTGCATAACTATACCAGGTAGAAATAAAATATTTATAATTTTTACAATTTAAATTTATCATGACGATTATACATATATAGTCCACTCACATATATTAAATGTTTCTACGTTTAGATATAAAATCTATAGGTATGCGCACAATTTGGTTCTCTTCTATTCTAATATAACAAATTTTTATTTGTTTTAGGTTGCACGAAATTTATTGGAGTGCTTATAGTGTCAATATGTGTTGTCGCATTTGTGGGGGTTGTTTATGTAGGTGCATATAGGTATATACTTTCTAAAAGTGAATCAGTGTATTATCACTGACTTCAGTGCTACAATTTATAACTGTAATATCAGCGAATATTTAGCGAGTGTTTTTCAGTAATAATACACTGATTTATTTTGAGAAGTTATGGTTTCTACAGATTGAATCTGCAGAAACCATCTACAGAAAATCATAATCTCTAAAGTGAATCAGTGTATTATTACTGAAAAACAGTAAATATTCGCTGACTTCAATGCTACACTTATAACTGATGTAATCAGTAATAACACGCTAATTCACTATTAAAGAGTAAGGAAAGTGTTTCAACAATGAATCACATGTAACGCGCCTGCTTAAGCAGCCGGTCGATTCTGATCGATGTTCGATTAACGCGATCATCACGCCATTCTGATGCGGTCGATAGCAAATTCTCAAATTCGTATAAAATATATGCAGCAATAATGCGGCTTTATAAGTAATTAGTGATATCTTAAAACTATCTACAGGGTAAACCCGGTAAAAAAAATACGCCGCGCTGGGATTTACGCCGCAGAAATCAGAAACAATAGAAAGAGTGGGGGTAATTTTCTCGCAACTATTCTGTTACATGCCTTTACGTTATATTAGTATTGAGTTACAATTTCAGCTTCTTACTGTTAATATTAATGAAATTATTGTGAGTTGAATCGATTTGTCACTGTAATAAGTAGCGCCATCATAAATGGTGATTATTTTGTGATTCCTCTACATACGTGTAGAGGAATAGTAAAGCATGTTGTATAGCAAAATACAAGTGCTTTGCTTTCGTATTCTTTGTTTAGTTTGTTGTCTTGTATATCCTACTTGTTTGAGATATACGGCATTTTTAGCGGGTGGGATTTATGCCCAAAGGATACAAAGTGCGCGGATTGAAATCAGTGCACTAAATACAATACAATAGACGCATTACATGAAATATGTACCTCTTGTCATAACACTTCTAATATATGTAGGAAGATTGTAATTATTATTTATTACACTCCATATACATATTTATCATTTTTATTCCTTAATAAAACTTTATAAACGCATTTCATAGGTTATTGTGTCATTTTACGTCTTATTTATATGCATTATTTGTAAATTTTTCATGAGCCGTACATACCCCCCCTCCCCCTATGAGTAGCCATATATCCCACCCCTATGGGATATATGGTAAAAATGCAAGGGTTTCAAAAAGTTTATTTTTTAATATGAAAAATTAATATATTTCGGATTCCTAATATTTTTTTTTATAGTAGTAGAAAGTATGAAGTTTTTACTGATATAATTTTTTTGTCTTAAACATGGTAAATAGTACTTGATAAATTAAATCTGCTTTAGGTGCGGCATATACCATATACCGAGTTTACCCTACTCATTAGTCCCAGAAGACTCCTCATACGTTTCATTTCTTAATTCAAATTCTAATTAAAATTTTTAAAACGTAATTGGTATTTAAGGATAAAAAGAGTTGCCCCTTTCCAGAAATATATGATCTATCTATACATAGTCTAATTTATCACACAAATAAATTCTCTTTAATTTAAATATGAGAAAAATTTTTCAATTGTAAAAACTTTATAAGAAAAAAAAACTGGCATCCTTTAATAGCATCTTTATGCATGCCAATCATGACTTACGTGCCGTGAAAGTACTTGTGTCAACAATTGCTATAGTCGTTATGCAAGAACTTGCTATAAAATGGGTCATTGCTATCCATAAACCAACGGAATGATAAGAATCGCCCTTCCAGCGCGCGTCACACTTCCTTCATTTTCCTTCGTTCCGCATAAAAGAACCCATAACGCGTATTCATGGCTACGTTACACCGTGTAAAGTAGTGATGAGAAAGGAGAGAAAGAGGAGGAACGTGAAGGTTGAACCGTTAATGACCTTTTATAACACAAGATCGCGGTATAACAAAATCCCATGTTGCACGGTAGTCTCGTATGTGTTCCAACGCGAGTATTAAAGACATCGGTCGACGTGGGTGGAAGTCCTGCAGTATAAGTAACGACCATATTTCGCAGCTATAACAAAACGTCACATACACGTTGGGGACAAGGGAGGAAGGTGAAAAGGCCAGCGGGAGGGCCGCTTTTATTATTGGCGCAATAAAACCCCGGTAACTGAGTAATAATTTAAAAGTTGAGCGCCGTTCAGCTCGAGCACCTTCGGCGCCGCGCCGCTCCGAGATGAGAGCCTGCGATCGACGGCGCAACGTGACGATATCCACGCCAATAAGTGCGACCGGCGAAATTTGCGAATATTCCGAGCTATACAACCTGTAGTCGTAACGGTGCTGGTTTTATTGTAGTCTGTAGTATATATCGTCAGCTTTACTATTTTGAAATCATATTGGACAAATATATAGAAGAGTCGCTCTATAAGCTGGCTAAAATAAATATAAATATCTGGAAAAAGGCGAAAGGAAGGAAAAATTGAATAATTTAACGATACTAATTGTATAAATGATTGTCACGTTTGATAATATTCTATCTGGACTAATTAAATTAGATAAATTAATTTTCGAAATTTATCATAGCTTCTACATAATACAAAAATTAATTTTTCTTGTAAGCTGATGTATAGTAATATATTTAGTACACAGTAAAAAAATTTGTGTATTTATGTTGGAAACGGTCTATTCACGTTTGTGTTAACAGTTTGTGTTGAATTTTTTAATATATTCGAGTGTTAATTTAACATAATGTGATTATGTTATTTAAAGATTTTTTGTGAAATTGATATTCAATGTTTCTTAATGTCAAAATGATACAATTTATGCGTAAATGTATAAGTAACAAAAATAATAATGTGTTTAAAACGTAAATTCTAAGACAAATGAATGAAATATGTGTTAATTTAATATATCATAAATATTAATTTTCTGAAAAAAAATATGTTCCCACGGTATGTTTACAAACTGTGTCGATGTTACTTTTGTTTGTATTTATTCTCTTACATAATACACTGAGAAAAAGATGTCTAAAAATATATTTGTGAGAAATACATTTATTTCATTGAAATAAATATTTATTTAAATACGGGCAAAATAAAATTTTATTCCTAGCAAATAAGCCATCTATTTTATTTTTTTGCAATTAATGAGATATATTTCACAGAAATAAGATATATTTCACAGAAATGTATATTTCGTCATCACAATCAAATTTCGTAAGTAACATTTGCTTCACAATACTTCGACATTTTTTTCTCAGTGTATTACTTTTTAACATATTCATTTTGTGTAAAATTAACTCAAAAATTTGAGTGGACCGTTTGGGACATGCGGTTTATGTTAAATTCAACACATTTTTTCCACATTGTAAGTAATGTGCCTATATATTAATAATAAGGAAAGTTTATTGTGTGAAATGTACAAGAGAAATTTATATAGATTTTTTTATATCAGAAATAAACACTACACATTTAAAATAAATATACGTATAAAATACATAGTAGAATAAAATATTCAATTCAGTTGGCAGCTGCATAAATTTGTAGGAAAAATTATTTAATAATTCGTGTAATGTATAAAATTTCACATATGACATACCGTTTAATATAATTCGTTACAGCGAGAGTAAATTTTGCAGACTATTCATTTCATATCCGTCAAAAATTATATGCGACGTAATTAATTTGTACGGCGACGTGAATTGCAGAATGAGGCTTGTCGAAAGCTCATCGCGCTTTTCGCTCGTTGACGGGGAATTTACGAGGCAGCTTTTGTGCGATTCCGACGAAAATCGATCAGAAAAACTTGAATAAGTGCGAAGAACGCATTGTCGGACGGGCGAAGAATACGGGAATTGTCGTTAGCCTCCCCTCGGTGACACGTCTGAGTTGTGGAGCGAAGAGATGGGGACTAGATATACGGTCGGACGTTGAGAGTGTAACAAGGTTTTCCGTTATCGAGTCTAAGATATCTCTAAAAAACGAGCGCCGATCACGATGCATCTCCGTGTTACTATCGGGGATCGGGAAAGGAGAGAGGGAATGGTTGGGGAATGCGAGGAAAACGCGGTTTCGCTCGCGCTTCGCGTGTAAAAATAGATCTTCCTAGCGAAGCCGCCGCGTTGCTGGAATTCGATATCGCTTGTATACATTGCACTTCGCATCCCGTTGTGAACGTAAAACGAATTAAATATTTCCTCGCAGCGGACGGCCCAGAGAATTCCAATGTAACGACGGACGGCGCCGCGCATATCCGCGGATTTTGTTCGCGAATTAAAATTAATAGAACGCCTATATTGGGACGGAATGATTGCACGTTCGCATGTGCATTTATTCTGGTTGCTATATACGCGCGTTACATAGTTCGAGATTATCGTTACGATCGATCGAACCGATACCTGAGCGAATACATGAGAGGATTTCAA